GAGGCCGGGCTCAACGTCTGAAGCCCTTGAAGCGAACCCTGGCCACACCAGTTAGCAAACCCAGCAGAGAAGGTGAAGTTCGGATGGCCAATTCGATGGCTGGGGCGGCAACACGCATCTGGTTTCGACAGTTGCGTCGTTTGCAGAGCCTGAAACATGCAGTTGCAGCAGCCAAAGACACACCAGCCGCTGTCTCCTACCGCATTGAACTTTGGGAGGCCATCAAACGATCAACAGGTTTCTCCCCAAATTTTTGCACATGGTGGAGCCAACAGGGGCATGAAGTTGATGGAGTACCTCAAGTGCTGCCCACACAAGTTCCACATGAATCGGTCGTCACAATGGCAATGTATGACAGCTTTCTTCTTCACTTCAGAAGGTTTGAGAAATGGCATCTCAACCAGCGTTCCCAGAGTTTGAAGATGAAGTATGTGGGTTCTATGAAAGCTCTTTACAATGACCTGCGTGATGACTCTAGACCAGGCATCACTACTTTCTGGAAGGATGGGCGCTACACCATTTTGGCCGTAGAACAGCAGGGCCAACAAATTCATTTGGGCAAAAATGTACAGACTCATTTTGACTCCGTTTGGATGCATGATCAACATTTGATTCCCATTACCTCGGCATCGGAAGATATGTGCACAGTTTCTTCTTCTGATGATCTGGCTCCAGGTGATGAACTGACCCAGCGTTCCTTCATTACGGATACGGACGATATCCTCCAGGCTCTCACTGAGCACTGGAAACCACGATGGAACAACTTGGCTGAGCTCCAAGACGCAGATTGGCAACGGGTGGTGGGATTCACTAAACACTACATGCCACAGATGCATTTCCAGTGGGCGGATTTGGATCCACCATCCTGGAGATCCATGGTGAAGAAGTTCAAGGCCACAGCAGCCAGAGGACCAGACGGCTTTTCTAAAGCTGATTTACAACATTTGCCAGGACCCTTCCTTGAGTCCTTGTTGGGGTTACCGCATGCTGTTGAAACCACAGACACTGAATGGCCTTCACAGCTCACTTCTGGCACTGTTTTGGGGCTCAGCAAAGTCGACGGTGCTCACAATGAGACCCAGTTCCGACCAATCACTTTGTTTTCCACGATATACCGAACATGGGCTAGACTTCGAACCCGGCAGATGGTGCGTCAACTAGCACAATACATGCCGGCGGAGGCACTAGGGTTTTTGCCCAATCGAGAGAGACCACGGAAGTTTGGTTGCAACTGCAAGCCCAAATCGAACTGATGCTCCAAAGCCAACATGATTATTCTGGTTTGTCAACAGATTTGAAGCGTGCCTTTAATAATATTGGCAGGAGACAGGTTTTTCATGTGGCACAGCATTTTGGATTTCCATGGCAATTGCTGAACTCTTGGGGCAAGTTTCTGGACCAGTGCACTAGGCGTTTCGATGTCAATGGTTGCCTCGGGGCGGAAGTCAGATCTACATCCGGTTTTCCGGAGGGTTGTCCACTGTCGATCCTAGCGATGTTGAGCGTGAATTGGTGCTACCACGTCTATATGAAGGCTTTTAGTCCAAGGGTCGCGGCATACTCTTTTGTGGATAACCTGACACTGGCGGCAAGAGAGGCACACCAAGTGGCACAAGCCTATTTTCTACTTCGTTCTGTCTGCCTTCTTTTTGGACTGAGCACTGATGATGACAAGACCTATGTTTGGGGCCTTTCCAAGCAATCACGTGATTCACTTGGTCTGCTGGGCTTTCCTTGTTTATCAGATGCAAGCGAGCTAGGGGGGGCAATGACTTTTGGCGCTTCACGAAGAACGAGGGTCTTGCGGCGAAGAGGTCAACAACTCCACCGCAAGTGGCAACGATTGAGGAGGTCCATGGCACCTGGGCCTCAGAAACTGGCCAGTTTATCCACGGTTTTCTGGCCTCAAGCTTTTCATGGTTCCTCAACATGCCTGATAGCTGACAATTATGCCAATGCATTGAGAAAGGAGGCTGTCAAGGCACTGAAGCTTAACGGATCAGGCTCAAATCCGTTGCTGCGTTTGTCCTTGTCAGACACCATGCAAGCTGACCCGGGTTTTTATCAAATACAACTGTGTCTCGCGACTTTTCGCCGTTTGTTGCGGAAGAATGTGGACCTGCTGCATATGTGGCATGCTTGGCACCAACAGCTTGATGGTAGATTTCTCCCCGGTCCTTTTTCGAGACTTGCACACTGCCTTTTCACACTTGGTTGGCATGTCACTCAACCGCCTTTCATCATGGATCATGAGGGTCATACGTGGAACCGGCAGCGGATGGATGACAAAACACTTGACACTTTGTTGCAAGATTCTTGGCTCCAGTATGTTGCTGCACAGACCCGGCACAAGACCATGCACGGTTTACAGGGTTTGGACGGCTTTCTTACCAAGCTGGACTGTTCTCAGATGTGTTCTTTGGACCGTGCCAGAGTTTCAGCACTTCATGCCGGTGCCTTTATGAGTCATTATGAACAAGCCAAGTTTGACCCAGAGAAAACACCGATGTGCTCACTTTGTAACACTGAGGATGACAGGCAGCATTGGTTAAGATGCCCCAGATTCCTTTCACTACGAAATCGAATTCCTGGTTGGCGGCCAGACAATTTGGAGCTTCCTCCTTGCACACTGAATCATCTGCTAGTGCCCCGACTGCAGTGCTTGGTAGAGTGGAGGGCCAGCTTTTGTCAACCGGAGGATCATGGCATGGTTTTCTTTTTTGCGCCCCCTAAACAGGGTTTTCACCATTTGTTTTTGGATGGATCCTGTTTTAATGACAAGTATCCCATGCTAAATGTTGCGGCTTGGGGAGTTGTAGATGCCACAAGCCAACAAGCTATTGCTGCGGCGCCACTGCATGGCATCACTCAAACCATCGATCGTGCTGAGCTCACAGCGCTTTTGGCGGCATTGCTATGGCCAGCGGGCACTGAAGTGGGCATTTGCCTCTGGTCTGACTCCCAATCAACCATTCAAGTTGCTGAATATATTCGGCAGTTTCAGGCTCTTCCAGATGGCGTTGCAAATCTGGCGAGAAGTCCTAGATGCCCTTCAAGACCGTTTAGAACTGGATACTGAGTTCCGCTGGATCCCATCACATGTGCATCACACGTCTGGGGAAGATCCTTTTGAAGATTGGGTGATTAGATGGAATGATGCTGCAGATAGGCTTGCATGCAGTACCAATAGGTCTAGACCATGTTCTTTCTGGAGGCACTACCAGTCTGTGCAGTTCTATTTTCTGGTGGCGGAGGATGGAGGACACCCCACTGGATCGCAGGATGAGCTGCAAGAGGTGGAATCATCAGAAGCCGAACCGGACTGGCTGTGGGTTTCATGGAATGACAATCTGCCAATCAATTGGAAGGTGAGATGCTTGCACGGAAGTTTCAAAGTTCCAGGGCTTTTCCTGGTTGATCTCATCACATGGACTTGTGCAACTGAGAGCTTAGAAGGGACGGTTAGGTTGGTCAGTGATGTTGAATTCGTTTTTCTTTTCCTTTTGGACAGAGAATTCAAATTTCCTTTCAAATTGGATGGGTCGCAACAGTTTCATTTGAGGAAGCCAGACTCACTTTTCCAAAGGCCCACGTTTGCAATGATGCTACGGCCGGTACAGGCGGCCATAGATCTATTACTTGATTTTTTCCCTCACGTTGTGCACAGAACGTCTCCACAACCCAACATTGCTTTGGGTTTGTACAAGTCTTTCGCTGGTTTGCGAATTTCCATTCCTGACCAGATGTGGCAGGCTGCACTAGAACAACTGAGGGGTTTCACTGAGACCAGAGCAGTGAGGCATTCAAGAGACCTGGCACGGCCTGTGCCGTGAACGAACATGGCTGCGGCCGCACTGCATTGCCGTGCGTCGCAGCTGAGCAATCCGTCCGCAGTATATAGTGCGACACTTGCCAGTGCTGCGTTTGTGCTCTGAGCCAGGGTGCACATGTCCTCAGTGGCACAATCCAGAACAAGTCGACACCCGCGATGCTTTGCTTGATGTTTGGCGTCGACAATTCATGCGGGCTGGCTATCGCCCTGAACCCCCCACAAGTGCCACCATGTTTGGAGTCAGCATTCGCGTCCCAACTTGCCTTGTCGTTCCGCTGTTGGAAAGCCGGAGGTACTGCAGGCATCTATGCTGAACCACGGTCCCTGGATTCCCGATCCATCCATGATGATTATGCAGTGGTCTGGGTTCCTCGCATGGAAGCATGAGGCTCTGAATCACCTTTGCCAGACCAACCCGACAGCCATAGGCATCACTCGAGTGGGAGACAGGGTTGGACATCGCCTGCCAAGCTGCTTGCTATGAGCCATGGTGACATCGTGATCACGCGCCACAAAGGCCCAGTTGCCCCAATCCTGCCACCATTGCACTGTGCTCAGCCCAAAATGCTGCAGGTGCTGCGCCTCCTGATCCATGGTCCAACGGTGACCCCTGGGAGGGTATGCCACTCCCAGTACTGGACAAACGGATGCGTCTGAGGGGCTTAAGCAGCTTGAGACGAAGCTTGAGACGAAGATTCAGAAAGCCGTCTTGGCCAGCTTGCCACCTTCGGCCAACCAGATGGGAGTTGATGATGTCCCTGATCGGGTCCAGGCCTTGGAGCAGCAAATGGCGACGTTGGCCCAAAAGCAGGCTCATCTTGAGACAAGCCTGACAGACCATGCCAATCGACAGTCTGCACAGTTGGCCGCAGTCACCGCACAGGTCCAGAACCAAGGAGTTGAACTGCGAGGCCATATCGAGAGCCAACAGCAAAACCTTCAAGCCATGTTTGAATCCCAGATGTCCCAGATCCGAAGCCTTCTCAAGCGGCCCCGTGATGACCTTGAATGACGGTGGGGGGCGCCAGTTGTGGCACTTCTGCTTGGTTTCATGCTCTTCTTCTTTGATGGCAGTCTGCTACATGAGTGCCAAGATCGAAAGTGACCAATGATTTCTCTGTTGGATGCTTCAATCCCTCGGGATTGGCGGGGGAGGCACAGGTGATCAATGAATACCTACAGCATGGTGATCTTTATGCCGTTGCTGAAACTCACCTGTCGACCAAATCGGGTTCATCCTTTCGCAGAGGTCTTCGAGTTACCCAATATCCTTTTCAGTATCTTGTTACGGGAAACCCTGTTCCTGTTCGAGTGCGCTCCCAAACTGCAGGTGGCTGGAGAGGTGTTGCTGCTCTTTCCAAGCATCCAACCCGCGCTGTTCCCGTGCCTTGGAGTGATGATTTGCTTGGAAGGTTTGGGCCCAACCCCCCTCGTTTTCCGCTCCGGGGTTGGTCTTGGATTAGACCTTAGCGGGCTCGCCATCTGCCCGCGGGCGCTGCTGGCCGACTTTGCAGCTGCCTTCCGTCTTGTGCTCTGCCATCTTGAGCAGGTGGCATCACCTTCGCTCTTTGTGGAGCGCTACCTCGACTTGGACTATTTGATCCCGGCCTTCACTGTTTGATTTTTCGCTGTGTATTGCGGGGTTATTATTCTGGGTCCTTCCACACCATTCGCTGGCTTGCCCGACTGGTTGTGCTTTATTTTCATTTAATATAATTCTTTGTGGTCTCTCGATCCCACTGGCTGTCTTGTACCCTGGCATCGACTTGACCACTTTTCATTTGGGTTCATTGTATTTGGTGTTTGCCTTGCTGAGTGATTTTCCTTGTGTTCGGCTACATCATTTCCTTTGACATCTTTTTCCGGGTTCCACTGGCTGTCTTGTACCCTGGACCTGGATTTATATTGGTGGTTTGATTTTGATTTGGCAGCGCCGAGTGATTTTCCTCGCGCACAACCACTACCTCTGTCACCACTTATTTGAATGTGTCTTTCGATTTTCTTCATCATCTTTGTGATCAATTATTACGGCTGTGGTACTGACAGGAACTCTGCGACGCAGGTTGCGAAGACAACGTGCGACTGCGAGAGCCCTCTGGCACCAACATCGCCGAGGAACAACAATTTTGACCAAGATTCAATTGAGGAAGATTTTCAGTGTGCTTTCGACGCGCCATTCAAGAGATTCTCAGTTTTTGAAGCGGATCAGCATGGCCTCACAGGAGAGCTACGAGAGCTATGCATGGAATTGCCCATGTGGGCGCCTCTGTGGAAAGAGACATTTCCACTGCCCGGACTGTCAATTGCATTGGTCGTCTGGCACCCCTCATTCCAATCAGCCCAAGTCACCGAGGGCACAGAACCAGAAGGAGAGCTGGGACTGGGATTGGCAATCAGGAAACCAGACAAGAGGACGTGGAGCCCATCAGAAGCAGAATCATCAGATGACGAGGAGTGCAAGCGCAAGAATGCGTGCTGCCAAAGGCCAGAAGAAGGGGAAGGGCAGGAACAAAGGACTGCATATGACTTCACCCTTCGCGCAGGGCACTGCGACTCCATGGCCGAATCCCGATACATCTTTTGCTTTCCCGACTCCATTTCCAGCCACAACTGCGGAAAGCTCTGCCCCCAGAACCAATGCAGATCTCGAATTGATACTTGCAGTCAAGGAGCAGTATCCAGATATTACGAAGGCACCATCCAGGATCCAATCAGCAGTTGCCAAGGCCGACAAGACAACAGCAAAGCAACTGACTTCGGGCCTGTCTTATGTGGTGGGCAATGCCACAAAGGAGCTCCATGCATTGAGAGAAGCCAAATCCAAGCACCGAGAACGTTGGCTCAAACATCTCAGCGACTCGGTCAAGTGCTGGGAACAGCAATTGAAGCTGTATACAGACCAGCAGGCGAACTACAACGGCCTGATCAAAAAAGCCACGCAGGAACTCAATACTGCGAGGCAGACCTTGGAGGTGCTCAACAAAAAGGCGGCTGGCCCGGAGGAGGTCGACCTCGAAGCCACCGACCCAGAAGACCAAAAAACAGTGGATGCAGAAGCGCAGGCGATGGCTCAACAGATCCAGACTGTTTTGCAAGCTTGTGCCAAAGCAGCTATGAAAGAAGAAGTGATGGAAGTATCAGATTCGGAGGATCTACCTGCCGGAGGACCAAGCAAACGACCTCGTTCGCTCGAGCCCTTTGGTGGTCATGCATCTACTTCAACGTGATTTTTGGCAGCGACTCGCCGTGTCTCTTTGGCGAGAATGGGTGTCGTGTGCCAAACCTTGTTGGCCTGCCGCAGATTGAAGAAGCTACGGTGGCGTCATTCACAATTCCTGCAACTGCATGCCATAGCGCTATTTGGGATCCTAGTTTTCTATTTCAGGATACATTTGCAGCTCTTGGTAAAACAATTCAACTGCAGGGAGATGTGATCCTCTCTTCTTCTACATGTACTCCAGTACTGCCGTCTTGCATTCGAAAACAAAGTTCTTCTATCAAGAAGAAGAAGACAAGATTCAATTCGGTAGTGGAAAGTATTACCCCCAATGGACTACCTGATGTTGAGCCACTTTCGGGTGTGATCGCAGAAGGTGATGTTGATGAGATCAGCTGGATGGTACGTGCATTTCATCGCCGTGAACCACCCAGCAGTTCTGATGTTGACTCTGATTTAGAAACACACACTCCTACTTCACCTGAGTCTTTTGGCCATGAACAGATGTGGAGATCGATTCAGATCTATGACATGCATGCGAATTACGGACGTGGAAGAGTGCAGGTTCAGCCTCCTGAAGCAACATTTGCACAAATGCGCAGACTGCTAGGGTATACCCATCACCAAGTTGCAGAGATTTTCGATATTTGGCCTGTGCCGCGTGACCTTGACGCTGCACACATTTCTCCAGTTCTACTTCTTCAACATGATGATGTTTTATTTGGAGACCATCGACGAGCAGTGCTCCTGGATGTCGAATTGCATGGTGAGAGGTTCGATACTGTCATTGAGATTGATCGTTACACCACCTTTTTGCCGACACCAGTGCATCGAAGTTTTCTACTGCAAATTGCTGGAGTTGCCCCTTATTGCAGACTTCAACAGGACCGATGCCTTGTTTGGCACAAAGGCAGCCTTGTTCCCCTGCAACAGCGTGGACTATTGAATCTCCAGCATGGTGATTACATCCGAATTGCAGTTCCGCCATTTGTGCAACCATCTGTGCCAACGCATTTTGCTGTTAGAGCTTGTCAAGCTGGCATGAATGCACTTCAACTTGTCCAGCATTTTCAAGTCCATGGAGCTGACACTGAAAGCCTCCACACAGCTCAAACAAATGAACAAGAGACCATTGAAGAAGGTGATGCTCAAACGTTATTGCAAACAGCTTTTCAGCGAATTTCTGATTTCCTGAAGCAGGCTGATGTGCCATCACCTTTGAGCTGCAGTTTCACTGATGAATTTCTCAATGCAGTCCGCGCACGAGAACAAGCTTTGGGAAATCAGCCGCTTAGAGCTGAAGAAGTGCCTGAACTCATTGATTCTTCTCAGTTTGTACGCCAGCTTTTTGATATCATTCATGATGCTGACCTACCCATGCCGGTGAACGCAGTGCCAGTTTACAATGTTGAAACATGGTTCACTGATCACCAGAGATTTCAAAGGTGCCATTTCACTAGGATTGTGCGACTAGGATTTTTACATCGTGCACCCGCAGACTGAAGATGCTGACACCAGTGCTGTGACACAGGTCATACTTGTACAAAAGGCTGTGGAACGACAGTGTTCCATTGTGTTATCCATTTATGACAGTGCATATGACAATGAACGTCCTCATTCTCATGCGGTTGTGACTTCCAGCCAACTTCAATCGATCATTGAATTGGCAGATTTCACTGAATTTTGTCCGCCAGAGGCCAGAGGCTCCTACCAATGCTTGCTCTCTTTGGTTTGGTGGCATTCCGATTTTGATGCACCAACAGCTCGCTTTACGACATGGCTATGCACTCCTTTTGACTGTGGAACGCCCTTTTGAGGTTGACTTTTCAGTTTTACGAGATGCTGACGAAGCGACTCTGAGAAGCACTTTAGAAGCAGCATTGGAAAACTTCTCGCAGGCCATTTCAAGGGATCTGAGGAGACCGCAAGAGGTCATTACTCCTGTTGATGACACCTGGAGGCCTGATTGGCACAACAGCATCGCTGGCGCTTTTGACATCGAAAGCAGTTTTGAGAGACCTGAAGAAGGACCAATCGCCTATATTGAGACATGGTATCTGAACGGTCAATCAGCCACTTGGAGCCAGCTTTCCAGACGTGTGCGATTAGGAGTCAATCAGGACGCATGGGAAAGCTCAATCATCGAGACATGGCGAGATCATAGTGATCGAAGATGCCCTTTCTTCCTTTACTTTGTTGACCCGGCACCGCCATCCCATCACACACCATATTTGAGGCCACCTTTGGGACACATCATTCTTGTTCAGCAGCCCACTTTTGATTGCGCCGCAATTCTGCTTACTGCTGTTTTACCAGCCGATGGGAGAGATGAGCTAGTTCGGGTAGCTGCCTATACCCTGAACAGACTCTCCATCAGTGCAGCACTTGAATTGCTTCCATTGCCTTCAGCTTTTCAGTTGCCCAATGTTCGTGTACGCAGAGGACGTTTAGTCTTTCCTGAACAAGGTGCACCTAGTATAGGTAATGGTGACAGCATTGTGGTCGAGAGAGCTCAACAGGTTTTTGCTCTACCACCCAATGAACTGCAAGAGGAAGAGGAGACATCACTCATGCAGATTGAAGCACAGATTGTCTCTGAACCGAACCTTTGGACTACTTTCAGTGCAATACCCGATTTTCTTGCTGAGCATTCCTGTAAAGGACTCTCTCAGGATTACAAAATTGATGGATCTCCATATGACCCACCGTCGCTGACGCAGCATATTGTAAATGCTGTTGCACCACAACAAGTTCGTCCCCTGCATGAAGTTCCTCCAGAACTCTCCCAGCTTCATGATGCTTTCCTGAGGGATGCAGCGGTTGCAGTTGAGGAAGAAGGACCTGTTGGCTTCATTGACACCTGGTACTTGATGGGTCCCAGGGAGTATGTCACAGAGCAGTCGAGGCTACTCCAGCTTGACCAATACGCTGATGAATGAGAAGCTGCTATCAGGGAGCTTTGGGCAGATGAGATCGACAACAACCTCCCCTTGCATATGCATTGGGTCACGCCTATCCCTGAAGCTTTGATTGGCCGTGACCGATTGGGCCATCTGATTTTGACACAAGCAATTCCAGACCATCTCACTGCTGTACACTTCACCATGAGATTTCAAGGTCTTGGTCGCACTGCAGTTGGTTTTGCTGCGGCTTTGCTTCACAATCCAGTTCGCTTTGCACCAACAAAAGACTTACTCCAACTTGCTAGGATTTGCCTTAGCAGGAGATGTAGCATGCGCTTCAATGGATTTGTCTGGAGAGAAGCAACTGCTTTGGATGTCCCGCGAGGAGCCAGTCTTGAATTTCGACTTGGCATCCCTGAAGAACGCTTGGGAGACGAACACATTGTTGAACCTCAGCCCATCTATCATGAGCCTGAAATCGAAGAGCCACTCGAACCTGTACACCCACCTCTACATGAACAATCACAATTTGTTCGAGACCTCTATGAATCATGGCTTGACCATGCTGTAGATGGTCCAGGTGGGCTAGAACAGCTGCTCCGTGTCGAGACTTGGTATGTGGAAGGCAGCTATATCCGGCACAATGATGAGCAGAGAGGGGTTGTGCTTGGCAAGGACTATTGGGAGTGGGAAAGAAACCTCATCCATAGATGGAGGGATCTCATCAACCCCACCCAAGAAACTGACTTCGTCATTGTGTCACCGACACCACCAACAGCTTCAACACCTACGGAAGTCCATATCATTCTCTACCAACAGCTTGGAGCATTCAACTGTCCCAGCCTTGTTACCACGTACGACAATGGAGTCCTTCGAGGAGCTCCTTACACGGCTGCGATTTTGCTCCCAGCGGCTGCCAGTCGAGATGAGATCATAGCGCATGCTGGTAAGACTTTCGTCTGCCCACCATATATGCCAACTACAAGTTGCACTTGCTGGTATGAAGGCATTGAATTGCATCCTATGAGACTTTTCCAATTGGATACTCATTTATGCTCATTGTCCATCGCCAGCTTAGAGATGACTTCTGGACTGACCCCTCAATTGAAGACGAGCCGCAAGATGAGACAGCAGCTTCAAGCTTCCTACAGATATCGGCCAACCGCGTCCACTCTGAAAGACCGTTTGGATGCCGAACCAAGACGAAGCGGAGCTCAATATGTTAATCTTCAGCACTCGATCAAGGAATTTGAAGTTTTTGATTCACATTTTTTCATGCCAGACCTTGACCTGGAGATTGGGCCTTGGCACTCTGCCTATCATTGGATACTGGACTGGTGGGATTTTGCGACCCCTGGCCATACTTTGTGGATCTATTACGATGGTTCCTATATTGCACACGAAGCATCCGCTACAGCTGCAGCTGCAGCGTTTCTGCAAGTTGATGACCACTGGCAGTTTGCTGGAGCGATTTCTACCAAGGTCATTCCTATGACGCAGAACATTTTGCATCAGCAATTAGCCTTAAGTTGGCCTATGACATCCTCAAGCTCCATGAAGCTGTTGGAGCCAGCACTCCAGAGGTCCATTTTTGCTTCGACTCCCTCACTGTAGGACACCAGACAAGTGGCATTTGGAGTTGCTTCAAACACCCACTGCTTGGACAAGTTCTACGCAACATCCATCGGCTGATTGAAACCAGGTTCTGCCCCAACATATATATCATTGGCATGTGCGTGGACATTGTGGTCATCCAGGAAATGAGCTGGTTGATGTGCTTGCGAATAGTGCACATGCAATGCAGCCGTCTCCTGCGGCAACCTGGCTGAGCCGCATTTGCACCTCTACGTTCCTTGAGGCCTCCAACTGGTTTTGGATCATTTTTTGATGCAGAGTTCACTCCCCACTGGGAAGGCTTGAAGCTCAAGCTCCCAATGCCAGACAGTGAGCTTATTGGCAATGAGTTTCCCTTCACTCCACGCCCTGCTGAAAGTGAAGAACAGGTGCAAGGTGCTAGAGTACAACTTCGACTGGCCACGTGCAATGTCCTTTCGCTCTGTGGTACACGTGATGAACAAGAATGTGGCATCAATGGGCCAGCCCGTCAACAGATGATTTTGCAACAGGCGGCAGAAGAGCGAATTGCCATTTTAGCACTACAAGAAACACGTATCAAACGCCTACATCAACTGCACTCTGAGGATTATTTCCTCTACAAGAGCAATGCCACCGAGAAGGGCCACTATGGCATCATCATTGGGTTTGCCAAGTCCGTTCCCTATGCTGTTTGCAACAAGCAACCCTGCTATTTCAAGCAGAGTGACTTCTCTGTCATTCACACTGACCCAAGGGCACTCATCATCAGAATCAGTGCCCAGGCTCTTAAGTGCATTGTAATTGCAGGACACGCGCCACACACAGGCAACAGCCTGGGTGATTTGCATGCCTGGTGGTTGACTTTGGCAGGGCACATTCCCAAAGTCTATGACTCCTGGCCGAAAGTCCTTCTCTGCGATGCCAATGCCAGTGTGGGACACTCGATCTCTGACCATATCGGAGGCCACCAGTCTGGCACTTTTGAAGCAAAAGCGGAGCCTTTTGAAACCTTTATTTGCGCCCATGACCTGTGGCTTCCGGCCACATTCTCTGAATATCAGATTGAACCTGGGATGACATGGACGCATAGTTCAGGGAAAGAGAGACGCATTGATTATGTTGCGCTTCCTCGTGCCTGGACGCCAACGTCCTGCAAAGCATGGGTCAGTGACATTATGGATCCGTCAATTACAAAAACTGACCATCTTGCAGTATGTGCCGAAATTGCATTTGATGGCCCGACATTTGCACGTGAACAGTATCGTCATCGGAAGCTGCAATTTCCTGATGGGAAAAATTTGGACCTCTCTGGCTTAGCAACGGTGCCCTTTGTGCCCTTTTCCGCCAACGTGCACTCTCATGCGGGATATCTGCAGACTCAACTTGTGCAGGCAGTCTATCGGCAGCAGGAGTTCACCAAGCAGAAGCCTTTGAAGAAAACCATCTCAAATGATACGTGGCAGCTTGTTCTTCAAAAGAGAACGCACAGAGCGCACCTTGCAGAAGCCCACAAACTGCAGCGCAAAACCGTGCTTGAATTGATTTTTGTGCTATGGAAAGACCAGGCCGCTCTTGTAGAACCGGCTCTGATTTTCAGCTATGACAGGCTGCTTGCTCAGCAGGATGTGCTGGTTGCACAAGCATTGGCCGCCTTTCGGTCACAAGGGCGACTTGTTACAGCTGCACTACGACGAGATGATGTGCGCTTCTTTCAGGCTTTACTTGCTGAAGGTTCTGAGCATCTTGACCCGGGGAGTGTCAAACACTTCTGGAATATCTTGCGGCGCTCCATACCAAAGTTCAAACAAAGACGGATCCATTTGTCACCTCTCCGTCTTGAAGCCTTGGAGAACCAGATTGTGCCACATCTCAGTCAGTTGGAGCTAGGCCAAGAAGTTCTGCCTGAAGAGTTGGTACAGCAATGCCATGAGAGACAGATTGCGGGTATGCAGCAATTGACCTCTGCAACTGTCTCTGCCAACTCTCTGCCCTCTTTGACCAGTTTTGAGACTTCTTTACGACTAACCACAGCAGGCAAAGCGACAGGACTCGACCCAATCCCGTCCTGCATACCTCACGATCAAGCACCAACAATCGCGAGATTTTATTATGCTTTGCTGCTGAAGATGCATTTGTGGTGTGTGGAGCCTCTTCAATTTAAGGGCGGCATTATGACCCTTATCCCGAAGAAAGGAGATTTAGGACAAGCTGCCAACTACAGAGGCATTCTCCTTTTAGCCTCTGTTGCCAAGAGAATTCACAGCCAGCTGCGAGCCAAGCTTATGCAAGTGCTCAATCATCAGCGAGTTGAAGGGCAACTTGGAGGCTTTCCCCATCAGATGGTACAGTTTGGTTTCCATTCTGTTTTGACATGGACACACATCCTGGAGAAGAAAGGATACAGCACTGCAGTCCTATACTTGGACTTAGCCAATGCTTTCCATCATCTGATACGAGAACTTGTCCTTGGAGTTGAAAGTGAAGAAGATTTCACCGAAATTGTCAACACGCTTCATCGTGCAGGCCACCCACTTGAGGCCAGGCAAGCTGGTCAGCAACTAGCTGGCACCTTGGAGCGATTTGGCTGTGACGAACGGCTGCTGCGCCTTCTACGTGATGTGCATACCGATACGTGGTTCACTGTCACCCAGAAAGAAGTTGTTCACACCAGGAGGGGTACCCGACCTGGTTCCCCGCTTGCTGACGCGGTCTTCCATGTGATCATGGCCCATATCATGAGCCTGGTCCGTGACTGGTTGCTGAGCTATACTTTGCAGCAGCTGCTTGCTCCACTTTCCATGCCAACTCTCACGGTAGTTTGGGCTGATGATGTTGCAGCACCACTCGCTGCAAGCCGAGCGACCGACCTTCTTCCCATGATTCAAGAAGTCATTAGCTTTGTTGACAAGCAATTCACGCAGCATGGTTTCACGGTCAACTACGACCTCAACAAGACCAATGCGGTTGTGAGTTTTCAGGGACAAGATGCACCCCAGCTCAGGAGAGACTATCTGTTGACAGATCGGCCGGGCATGACCTGTAGCCTTGATTCAGGGCAATCAATTTGGCTGCACTTCAAAAATAGTTACAAACACCTGGGCTACACGTACGCAGCTTCGCAATCACTGGAAGTTGAGCTGCGTCAACGAATTGGACAAGCCACCAGCGCCATGGCCATGCTGGGCCGTCCAATTTTGACGAACAGGCATTACCCCACCAAGCTGAGAATCCATCTCTTCCGAGTTTTTGTGGAAACCAGACTTTTCTATGGCCTGGGGACTTGGAGGACACCTACGCTCAAGCAAATGAAGCAGCTCCGCACTGTTTATGTTGCCCTCCTGAAGAAGGTGCTTCGACCTCGGACCACAAGCTCACCTTACACATGGCAGGATCTTTCAGCTTGCCGGTACCCTTGATGTTCGGCATTTGCTTGCTTTGGATAGGTTGAGGTATGCCAAAAAGCTGTTGGTGATGGTCCAGAATTCTTACAGCAGCTTGTTCATCTTGAACATACATGGCCTCGCTGCCGATCTGGCCTGGCTAGGAAGCCTTGTGCCTGATCAGTTTCCACAGCCAGCCGGGCAAGATCTCACGGAATTGATCGATTATTGGCAACGACCCGCTGTACCTTGGAAGCGCATTTTGCGCAGAGGCTGGCGCATGCGCAGGAGCACATGATGACGAACACACATGAATTCCATCGACTCTTCATTACTGTGTTGAAGCAAACTGGTGCAGAACTTACTCCGGTCTTGGGAGAGGCAGATGTGCAGTACGTGGAGAAGTGCATCGATGCCCATGTGGTAGGCAATTTGACACGCCTCAAGGCCTGGCTTTGCATCGAGTCAAAGCACATAAACTTTTTGCACCGAAACATGCTATGACCTGTGGGGCGACGTGCCCATGCTGTTTGCGCTTCTTTTGGACGAGTGCACGACTGCAGCAGCATCTGGCATACATCCCACGAAAAGGAGG